AAAAAAAAAAAATTAAAAAAAAAATAAACAAATCAATAAATAAATTAAACCTCCCCTAGAAATATCAGGCTAACATTACAGGGGGACACTTGTGAGAAGGGCTTTCTACTAAGTAACTGTTTGTGAGATTGTATGTAAAACACAAAACTAGGGAAAAAAACTGAATGTCATAAAAAGTTTATTTTAAAAAGACTATACTTCAATTTGTACAAGTAGGTATTAAGATATAGTTTCCCAGCCTGAACCATTCCCTTTTAATAATCCATCTGACAAAACTACCAATATTGAATTGGTACAAAGGTAACAGAAAATTATATATGATTTGTATGAAAAAGTTTAACCTTAAGTCTAAATTCTACCAATCTCTTTATTTTGCTTAAAATAATAAAAGCATTTAAGGTACAGAGCAGCGAGTTCACTAATCTGATTACTATAAAAAGAAAGGAAAAACACGACCTTAATTAGCTTGTTCACCACTGGTCACCTCTGCCCCCTTATAGATGAACACAGACTAGTGGTGGAGAGCCAGAAGGAAGTATTTGCCAGAACTTGATCAAAGCAAATGTTTTCTGAAAATTTACATACTGCACTCAGTTTTTTGAAATAACTGCTACCTGTTCATGCCTCAATTTTAGAAACAGTCCCTCAGCTGTACCGCCTGCTCTTTCACCAGCTCTCCTACCTCTTGCGAACCAAAGAAAGCCCTTTACAACACAAACTCCTCCAGTTACTAGGAACAGTATTTATGTCCTCAGGTTTCCAAACACCTGGGACAATCTCCAGAGAAGCACTTACTGTACTGTGCTACCATTAAAACCATGATACCAACCCCACCCTGCCATCCCTGTGAATTTGAAGGAAGAAAAACAAGGACTTTTAAAAAAGACTGTTATGATTTGAACCTTCAGTGTCTCACCAAAGTTCACATTTGATCCACAAGGTGGTGCTATTGGGAAATGGCATGGACTTCAGGAGGCAGGGCCTAGTAAAGAGTTCCTGGAGCTGGGTGCTCTTGAAAGGGATTGTGTGATCCTGATCTCTCCTCTTCCATTTTTTCTCCTTTATGAGGTGAGGGGCAATGTGCTCTGTCATGCACTCTTGTCATGTTTGTTATGTTGCCTTATCAGAGGCCAAAGCAACAGAGTCACTTAGTCATAGACAGAACCTCCAAAATATGAAGCCAAAATAAACCTTTTCTGTTTATAAACTAATTAACCCAGAAATTTTATTATAATAATGCAAAGCTCACTAATACATAATTTTTACATACCCAGAACTTAGCACAGTGTTTAGTGTATAACATATATTCAGTTTCCAAAAAAATCCTGTTCCATCTGGAGTTATACAAATAATTCAAAAATTGTATCTTCTGGGGGCTGGGGAAGATAACTCAGCTGTCTAAGTAGCTGCCCATCAAGCTCAAGGACCCTGGTTTGATCCCCTGTACTGCATGCCATGCTAGTCCTAGAACCAGGTGTGCAGTGCCAGCCACTAAAACTGGGCCTGGTGTGCATACCTGTAATCCTGGCACAGGTTAGGCTGAAACAGGAGGATCACTATGAGTCTGAGCTGTGTAGTGAGACCCGATACCAAATAAATAAAAGAGCAAACAAATAAAATAAAAATTACGCCTTCTAGAAAATCGGTTTCTTATAAGTAGTAGGGGGCTATTTTGTTTTGTTTCCTTGTATTCTTCCAAGATTTAAAAGAAGAACAAATCAATACCACTGTGTAATAACTAAAATATGACTCGGCTGTTATTTTTCTAAGAACTTAGATGTCACATAAAAAGAAAGTACTTACCCTTACATCAGTTGCATCTCCATGTCTGATAATACTGGCCCAGGTGGTTGGCTCACTATTGCTTTCAAAATAATGAAAGACTTTTAATACTCGCTCCATCGCACCAGGAGAACGTTCCATGCCAGTACCCAGGTGAGGCTTAGCACTTGAATTTGGTGTATGATTCAAGTTTGGGTCAAGGTAAGCAGCTGCCATTATTTTGCTAGATGCTAGGTATCTGTCATATTCTGTTGAGAAAAAAAAATACTTTTCAGTGTTCAATATTTGATATCTGCTAATTACAGTATGTTTGAATTTCTATTATCAACACTGTTTTCTTTCCTTTCTCCATCACCTACCACATGCACAAGACTGAGGAAGAGAGGGATCTCACCTACCAAAATAATCACTGCCCCCACTAAGCAGTATAAATCACAGTAGCATAATAAACATTTGTTTGCTGCCTACTTCAGAGAAAAAAAGTCTTTATGTAAGTTGACTTTATACATATTAGGCAATGAAAATCTTCAAAACAAACTCCTTGCTTAACAAAAGAATGAGCCACAGAACACCTGAAAACAAAACCAAAACTGCACAAACAAGTACATTTTCTTCAAGTATGTAACGGGACTAGTTTGAAGATGATTAGATTCCTACTAAGAAAAGTCCTAAAGTCCAGATTTTAAAAACGAAATTTTTTTCCCTGAACATATCATTGTTGGGTACGTATTTTCTGTATCCAGTTCATCCACTGATGATGTTTTTGGTTCAAAGCACAAACATGAGGCAACAGAATGCCACAGATGGCGAGAAGACCTGATTCCCTAACAGCTGCCTCTTCCCACAGAGCCATGGCTGCTTAGAGCCGAAGAGCCAGAAGAGTCAAGAAATGGCAACTAATCAGAGGAGGGTTTTGGGCAGCAAGGAGCCAGTTAAGCTGGCAAAGAAAAGGAGAGTGGAGATTGAGTCCAATGTAATACTGGGTATCCCTCAGGGCAATCAAAGAGTACTGAACCCCAGCCAAGAAAGAGCTTCTAAAGGCAAAGTGTAGGACAAGTCAAAGGGTCCAGGAAATAGGCCTCAGAATCTAAGACATATTTCAGTAAGAACAGTGGGACATAAGAGTAAAGGAGGCTTCAGCAGCTGGAGCACAGTCTCTGCTCAAAACCATTATAGATTGGATTCAATGACCAGGTTCCATCTATCTACAAGGAAAAGGGTCAACATTTTGCACAGAAAGATGGTAACAACCAAAGCAGGAATGATATTTCTTTATTGCAAAATATTTCCATTTAGTATGCCAAGAAGGTGGGGGAAGGGGGCACAGATCAAGAAAAAAACAAACAAATATACATACATATATATATATATATATACACACACACACACATATATATTTAGAAATATTTTTCTAAGCATGGAAAATACGATACAAAGATGAACAAAAGACATGAATAATGAATACAGTGTAGTAAGTATCAGCAAGAATGTGGGAAAACTGGAACCTTCATACATTGCTAGTAAAATGTAAAATAGTATATTCACAATGGAAATAGTCTGGCAGTTTCTAAAAAGATTAAACAGAACTACCATATGACCCAACAAATCCAATAGTAGAAATATATAAGAGACTAAAAATATACATGCATATCATCAGTGGATGTACTGGATAAAGAAAGTATGTACCCAACAATGATATGCTTAGGGAAAAAAAAAAAAATGAATGAAGTACTGGTGCATACTACAACATAATGAACACAGAAAATTATTCAGTAGAAACCAGAGGGCTGTCCAAATAGCTCAGCAAATTAAAGCACCTGCAAGCAGGTACAGGAGCCAGGGGTTTGATCCCCGAGCCTGCCATGCTGGCCCCACGCCCAGGGTGTGCTGAGACAACTGAGACTGAGCATGGTGGTGCACATCTGTAATTCCTGCTCTTGGGAGGCTGTAAACAGGCAGATCACTACAGGTCCAATCTAGTGGTGAGACTCTGAACACCCTGTAGACCCTTCCCTAAAATACAAAAAAAAAAAAAAAAAGAAAGAAAAAAGAAAACCAAACAGGCCACGAAATACGAGCCCACTTATACAAAAGTCTAGAATATACAAATATACATAGAAGGAAGCAGATCACTGGCTGATAGGGATAAGTGATGATGTTAGAAATGACTGCTAACAGGAAAAGTTTCTTTGGTGATGATGGACATATTTTGGAATCAATACAGTGGCAATGGATGTACAACACTGTGAATAAAACTATAAAGTCCTCAACTGTACACTCTGAAATGGCTAAAGGGGTAAATTTTATGTTATGGAAATTTTATTTCAATAAAAATGTAGAGGGCTGGGGAGATAGCTCAGCAGAATAAGTGCTTGCCTGGCAAGCGCTAGGGCCTGAATTCAATCCCCGGTTCTGCCAAAAATAAAAATAAAAAGAAATCAATAAAAATGTGACTATACAAAAGAACAGTTGAATGATTTTTAAACAGAGGAGGGAGGCAGGCCAAACAGTTCCTAAGATGTGAGGAAACAAGAATTCTAATTGGGACTTCTATCTGGTACAGTTTTTATGGAGGGGTACTTGGCAAAGTCTAAAGTACACGTGCTTTTTATCTCTGCTAATTCAGCAGTTCCACTGCAAGGAATTACACCAAAGATTAACTGCTCTGGACTCACCTTGTAGATCCAAAACTCCTATGTTGATAACTATTCCTCAATATTAGTATAATAGCATATGGGGGTCTTTGGGAGATAATTAAAATGAGATGATGTCACAGGATTGGGGCCTCCATGACAGGCTTACTATACTCATGAGAGAAACAAATAGCCTGCTTCCTGCCTTAACAACCTTGTAACCTACAATCTGAAGAGGGCCCTAGCCAAACAAGGCACCTGAATCAAGAACTGTTTCTTTTGTTTATACGCTACCCAGTTATGTCTTTTCTTAACAGCAATCCAAACTGATTAAGACACATATTTAGAAGAATATTAGAATGCATATCCATTAGTTTATTCACTGCAGGGAAAGTAATGGAAAACACCTAAATACACACACAAACACTATGGTACATTCTCATAATGAAGTATTACGAATCTGTTGGGCAGAGAGGCAAGAGGAAGATCCCTATAATTGAAAAAGTATGAATTCCAGGACATACATTAAGGATTATACAAAATCCGAAGCATAAAGGATAGGCACAAAGTAACTTTTGTAAAAAAAAAAAAAAAAAAAAAGGGAAATAAGAAAATATAATTGTATCCATTTGGATTGTATTTCACCAGCCAAAAGCCCACCTAGTAGAAACAAGACCAATGAGACAATGGGATGGGTGGAACCAGGATGGAAAAGGGAATAATGGAGAAAACAGTATGGATGACACTTATGCACATACCCAGAGAGCAGCCTTCTTCTAAATGCTGACTGAAGATATCAGCAAACTTGACCTGATTTTGAATTTGACATAATTCTCAACAGAATAAAATTATATTCACAAGTATACATAAAATATTTACTAAAATTTGGCCACATGGTAGGTGAAAAAGCAAGATTCAACAAGTATCAATGGTCTAAAATTATTCAGCTAGATAACAATAACAAAATGGTAACCAGATATTCCATTACTTGGAAATTAATCAATATGTATCAAGTGGAGACGACCCAGGCCTCGGGATCCTGAACAGATCCAGAGTGCAGGCCCGGCGAGTGAGTGAGACGACAGAGGCCGCGGGATCCTGAACAGACCCAGAGTGCAGGCCCGGCCAGTGAGTGAGACAACAGAGGCCGCGGGATCCTGAACAGACCCAGAGTGCAGGCCCGGCCAGTGAGTGAGACAACAGAGGCCGCGGGATCCTGAACAGACCCGGAGCACAGGCCGGCCAGTGAGTGAGATGACCAGGGCCGTGGGATCCTAAACAGACCC